TGTCATGGAAGGAGGTGGATATGTCCCGTTTTATGGAAGGAGAGGAACGGATGGGCAAAACATATCGAAACTGAATGAAACTTTCTGAGTTAGTCAACGAGTTACAGACCTTTCTATAGCCGAAAACCGTTTGACATTCGGAATTATGATCTGAAAGTTATTGGTGTTTTTATGGGACTGATCTGTGCATAATGAACATGCGACCAGTCAACTTCGCAGGTGATTTCCGGCCAAGTCCTAAAGAAATAGATGTTGATATTGGTTTCGTTGGAAAGATCACGGATTCTAGTTTCTGTAGCTTTTTTCGGATTTAAATTACGAGGTATGGTCTGCTCGCAAATCGTGTTTCAATATTGAGAAAAAATCACTGTTTCTGAAACTGGAATTTCTATTCTTAAATCCGATCAGAGGACTTTCAAGCTTATTTATCGTCGTTCTGTAAGGACCCAGGAGACGATTTGGATATCATTGGAAAGCTCCGAGTCTTGGCTTTCCAAAGGCACCGAGTTAATCTTGATCTGAGGTCGGTGTAAGAAGTTATCGCTGTTTTCGTCTGACTGGTATAATTTGGCCAAACCGAATAAACATTTTAGGACGTTTAATAATGGAATGTTACACATGGTTTCCTAATCGCAGATTCGCAGTAGCTCATTCTTCCATGTTCATTCTTCAATGTCAATCTACCCATAAAGGCTAAGGTTCAGGTGTTGTCTTGATTACTTTAATACTAATTAACAGTAAATGTTCTTACATTTTAGTCTAGGAATGGAATGTGATGTTGTTGGTTATATATGTTAAGTCTAGTGATGGTTGATGTTTGCTGGTTGCTATATGGTAGTTTGTAATATTATTTGATGTGTGGAAACTGTTTGATAAAGTTGTATGGTGCTAGGTAGAGAAGGAATGTTAAAGATTTAAAATGAATTGTTTGAGATTGTTAAAGTATATGATAGTTCTGCGAACGATCGCATACGTAAGCCCGTTGCAGAACTTTGCGTGTTGGACTACGAACGATCGCGTATGTAAACCCGTTGTAGTCTAGGCCTTAGAGGGCCATGACAGGGGAGGACATACCCAAAACGGTAGAAAGAGGATGGCTCCACCGTGAATTTAGGATAAGTAAAGAAAGTAAAAAATGTGAAAAGTAAAGAATGTGAAAGGTGAAATGTTTAAGTATGAGATAATGTGTAAGTAAAAGAGATTATGGTGTGGAAATATTATGTATGAATGTTATGTTGCTAGTAATACGTTGAGTGATGCACGTTTTATTTCTGGGTTAATGTGTTTGATTGCTTATTGTTTTCAAGTATTAGAGTTGTTGTAGGTAACTTCCTCACTGAGTAATTTCTTCCTGGAATTGCTCACCCTTTTTTTTCCCTTTTAGTTTGTGCAGGTGTGTTGCTTGTTGAGTAAATTAGGGCATGAGACCTATGATTCAAAGTAATCGGGGATCGGGTGTCACAGCAACACTCGATAATAGAAGATGGAGATCGAATCAAGAATCTCTGTACTCTCACATAGGATGAAAAACTGAAAGAAAAAAAATTTATGTGAGAAAATTTTGTTATCGATGATCCTCATGAGAAGGAATAAGGCTTGTTTATATCAAGCCAAAAAACTCAACGTACGTGCAATTAAGAGGAGATGGAGAATTATTCTCTCCATAATCACGTTGACCAATTGAATTGTAGGTTACAAAATTCAAGTCAAAATAGTATTGTAAGTAACAAAATTCAATTAAAATTTGACTTTTATGTTCCAAACCAAATTAAAGAAATTATATATTACTCAACAAATAATTTTGGTAAAACAAATGTAATTGTTTCGAGTTATTGTTCTATTTGTCAAATTTCGAAATCCAAAATTAACTCTATTATGACTATCTTTTTTCTCCAATACACCAAAATGTACGGAATGTTTTAAACCTTGTTATGAGTTATTCACTTTCTAACATTTGCTAGGTTTTACATTTAGCCAAAATTTAAAGTTTTACAAGTTTTTCAATTCATCCCCTTTGAACCTTCATTTAAATGAACTCCGATTTTCACAAGTAAATGCACTACATTACATTGTTCAAGGCGGCGATTCCATCATGCCCAAAATCATATCATTGCAATGATTGTCTTCACTGGAAAACTCAACAAAAAAAATTCTAAAACTATTTCATCAAAAATGAATTATACGTCGAAAACAAATTGTAACATTAATGTGTCTCATGCGTTTAACTCATTGATACACACAGTATTAACCCTATAAATATC